ATTAAAACAAAAAAGGGATTGTTGAAGAGCTCCAAAAGGATCTCTCCGAACTGGACAAACGGGCAGTAAAATTGCGAATATAATTCAACGTAAGCAGGTTATGCAATTGGGGCAATCTTAAATCTACATATATCATGGGATCTGAACTGTTGTTCACTGACCAGGCACAAGACATTCGGGTGGCAGGGAGCGACTTGACGCAGATACCAACCTAGTGAGTGACAGCTGTGGACAGCGGCGCCCAGTATAGGGGGCAGAGAGGGCTTCAGCTACCCCAATATTTTGGGGCAGGGGACAGCGCTCCACCCAATATTGAAGGGGCCGCCACCCCCCGCCCAACCTGGCAACCCAGGAGCTAGGCAGCGGCTGGCACAAGTGGGGGAGATCTTTACTTCACTCGTCCCAGCCGCAGCCCAGCAGCCCAACAGCTGGGTGGGCGCTGGGACAAGCCACTGTAGAGATCACACTCCGTGTATACCGCCAGGCGGCGTCACGTGACACATCACGTGACCTCGGCACCCCTGGCTGTGAAAAAGGTGACTGTCACGCTAGGGAGCATTAGGAAAGGGATCGAAAATAAAGCAGTCAATGCCATAATGCAAATATTTGGTGCAGCCACACTTAGAATACCGTGTACTGTTCCGGTCAGCTCACCTCAGAAAGGATATTTCTAGAGGTGGAAAAGGGCAGCCAGAATGATAAAGGGGCAACTCCCCTATGAAGGAAGTCTACAACTTTGGGGGCTTCTTTGTTTGAAAAAAGGAAAGTGGGGCATGGAAGAAATCTATAAAATCAGGCATTCCTCACCTCTGATCCTAGAACCTGGAGCTGTCCAAGCCAAGTTGAATATTGGAAGATTCAGGAAAGACAAAATCAAGTACTCGGTTTAACTACGGAACTCACCTCCACAGGAGGCAGCGAGGGTCACCAATTTGGATGGCTTTAAAAGGGGATTAGACAAATTCGCAGAGCACAAGGCTAGCTGAATGAGATGACCCTTTGGTCTGATCCTGCAACGGTCTTCTTACATTGATACTCGGAAGCAAGTGGAATGCAATCTTGCCTTTGGAGCAACCCTGTTAAATTTCCACTGCTCTAGAGGCAGCTATTGCATTACTGAGACCCAGAAGAAAAGGAGGTGGGGATTCATTTCCCTATCACCAAGTACTTATCAGAGGGTGTTCCTCTGAGACTGAGACCACACAGACAGGCCAGAGGAGAGGGAGAGAGGGGAGGTGGTCTCACCTGAGCACCTAAGCAAAGGCCCCTAACTTTCTGGAGCTAGTACTATTCTTTTCATGCCCCTGACAAAGACCCATTTATAGCTGGAACTCCCATTACCTGCAAGGAAGGAACCGGGAATCGTTTAAGCACCGTGTGTTCTCTGCAAGGCCATTATACCCTATGTGCGAACAATAGGAAATTAACCTCCTATTCACTGACCGGACAACACAAAAGTCTAACAGTCCTGCCTTTGACATTTCTTGTTTCACATGAAAGAGACAGAAACCCCCCATCAAGTCAACACAAGAAGGGTTTTCCCACTCCCTGATATCAATAGGCTTTGCATCAAACTCTGAAACAGCGAACATCCGATCCCCGCAGTCTGACACTGGATTACAAGGCGCACCCCCTGCCCCCACTTAAAGACACTTATATTTAGATTCCATAGGAATTTTACATGATCATACAGGAAATCTTTGAATGAAAATGAAGGTCAGGGCAGGGATTGGCTTCCTCTGCCAGGGCCTCTTTCTCTCCCTCCTCATTCTTTCAAATATCCAAATAAGCATTGTTTAGAAAACAATATGCTTCCACTGTTATTTATTAATTATTACTGTTACTACTACAAAAAAAAACAACAACCAGCAGCTCAAATGCATTTGTATGGGCGTCTTGAAAATAAAATGCTAGGCTCTTCACATCCTTTTTTTTTTTATCCAACCATCACTGAAACCTTTTTATAAAGATCTGGCATAAACTAGTTACTGACCCTTGACTGTGCATAAATCAGCAATCATGGGGATTAATTTTTTAATTTTTTAAAAAAAAAGATCTGAGGGCAGTTCACAAGATAAAATTAGAACGAACAACTAGTTACAATTATAAAGAAATGGCCAGCATTTTAACTACTTAATTTTTCAACTTCAAAAGTTTAACAATTTAAAAAAAACCCAAAGGTTACCTTTTTTGGAAAGTGTAGGTTTTAAAAAAATGAAATCTGGCTTTCCAAGAGTCTTCCCTGACACAGCCACTCTGGGACTTTATCCTGAAGCCGCTCACATCTCTATCCTAGTTGCCGCTTGAAAAAAAATCTCCATTTAAAAAATATTTAAATCTCACATTTCCCATAGAGTCCACAGTGGCAGAAAAGAGTCAGTCCCCAGGTCGCCTCCCACCCCAGGAGCTGATAAGACTCCAACTTCCTTAAATTCATCACGCTTGTTACACTGTGTGCCTTAACAATAATAATAATATTTATTTATTTATTTATTTATTTATTTTATACCCCGCCCATCTGGCTGAGTTTCCTCAGCCACTCTGGGCAGCTTCCAACAGAATATTAAAATACAATAGTCTATTAAACATTAAAAGCTTCCCTAAACAGGGCTGCTTTCAGATGTCTTCTAAAAGTCTGGTAGTTGTTTTTCTCTTTGACATCTGGTGGGAGGGTGTTCCACAGGGCGGGCGCCACTACCGAGAAGGCCCCCTGCCTGGTTCCCTGTAACTTGGCTTCTCACAGTGAGGGAACCACCAGAAGGCCCTTGGCGCTGGACCTCAGTGTCTGGGCAGAATGATGGGGGTGGAGATGCTCCTTCAGGTATACTGGACCGAGGCCACTCGTACCATGCCCTGGGCTCAAAAGACAACCTTTAACAGCAAACTACTACAATATACCTGAACTGCAGGTGAAGACAACAAACCTTATCCTGGGATGCATGTGGGACTCCTGCACTGTCTTGCCAAGTGTTGAAAAAGAATATTTAAAACAGTTTGGCAGGCTCCTTCAGTCACTCAGCTGAACACATGAAGACCTACTGTAAGGGCAGGGACCATTTCTCAAGGTAAGGGCTGCATTCGTTTCTGAGCGACCTGCCAGAGGTGAGCAGGGCCATGGGCAAAAGTAAGCAGGGCAGCGCTGGTGAACTCCACTGTTGTACGAAAGGCTAGTCTCTACACTCAGGGCTTATCCCGTGCCTGGAAAGCACCGATCCAAGTGGTTTTGCCTTTCCCACAAAAATCCCGCTCTTTAGCCCTAAATCGGAACAAACAGCAATCTGCAGGAAACCTGGTTGCCGTTTGATACAATTAAGCACTAAACCACAGGTTTTCCCAGGGACATGAAGCTGGACTGGTGAGGGGTGTGGCTGGGGAAAGTAGGTGTGGCCTGGGGAAAGGGGGTGTGGCTCAGGAAAGGGGTGTGGCCTGGGGAAAGGGGTGTGGCCTGGGAAAATGGTATGCAGCTGATAGGATGTGAGGCCTGGGGAGGAGTGTGGCCTGGCAGGACTGGGGCAGAACAGGGTTTTTGCTGGCTTTTCCAATGGTGTTTGAAATATATGTGATTTCACTGATGCGCACAGTTCCTTGGAACGTAACCCCCACAAAAATTGGGAGGTCGCCTGTATACAAATTATTATTATTACCTTTATCATTATTACACAAACACTAAACCTGGAAAAAACACTGTGCCTAAGGCAAAACCTGGCCACTGCCCAGACCTCACGGACAGGTGTAGGGAACCTGTGGCCCTCCAGATATTGCTAAGATGGAGAAGTACCCCTGAATTTTGTTCAGGGTTGCACAGAGGTTCCCCGCTGCGTGCAACAGCACGAAGGTAACTGTGACTATTTGTCCCATGCTCTGGGAGTTGGGCAGCTACTCTCTGCAAATATGCACAGATCCACTGGTGGTTTTAAAGAGAAGTATTCATAGACATACAGAGGACTAAGAGTACAAAAGGGCCCCCTATGCCAACATTCCGAGATATGGAGAAGTAAAGCAAAGCATTATATGCAGGTATCCTGCAGTGTAACGCATATCACAACGTTTGGAGATTATCTGAGTGTTCTGAGCAGCTCTCCCAGGGTTGTACAAATCTATCCTTTGGGGTTAACGGGTCTGAGTATAACACAGGGCTGAACAAAGAACTCTTGCCAAGCCAGCTAAGCACAAAGCCGTGTGCAGCAGCACAGCGCATGACGTACAAGGCACCAGCTCCCAGCCATCTAGACAGCACCTCACCAGCTGGGGAGAGAAAATGCTGGGCACTTTGTGCAAATCATACACCAGAATTCAACACTTGGGTGCAAGGCGAAGCAGCACAATGCTGAGCACTGTTCACAGGGCGCATCTGTGCGCTATGCCGTGTGGATGGATAAACCGCACTGCACAGTGTGCAACAGCGTACACAGAATTCTCAGAAACGTGGGCAGTTAAGAGTTTTACTTTTCTTTTCAGCTGGTCAAATATGGCACATGGTGGAAGAAGGGGAAACTTAAGAGGGCTACACAGTGCAATGAGCTGCAGCTAGGAATCCCAGGTGTCCTGCAGGAACCATGTGACAGAAGCAAGACAGAGAGAAAACGAGGTGTGCAAGGAATGTACACAGCTACCAAGGCTACAGACAGCAACATGTCAGTGGCACGGGGAAGGGGGTAGGGAGTTTCAGGTTGATGAGGAATACACTGCTTGCTGCAAGCGAAACGAACGTTAAGTGCATCCAAGTCAGCGTTGGGATATCTAGCCGAGCAAGGATACCACCCAGTGTGCAGCAACGGGCAGAGATATACCAAGCAAGGGTTATACACGGATATTATAGTATTCGAGTAACGTGCGCGCGTGTAGTTGGGCAACTGATAAAGAGGGGGCTTTTAGCGCTACGCAAAAAAAAGTTGGAGAGGCCTTTGCAAACTTGGGATTTCGAAGCACCAGCCAATTCAGCGTCCCGGTTCTGGGCCAACCCCGCTCCCCAACCCCATCCCAGGCGGGCGCAGACCTACCGGCGGGGTCAGGGAGTTGCAGCCCGAGGCCAGTTTCACCGCTTGCCTCTTGAGCTCGGCCAGCTTGGCTTGGCAGCTTCGGCACCATCCTCCTTTGGCCGCTCTCTCGAAGTGGCCCAGCTCGCCCCCCGAGGCGGCTCCGGCGCCCTCCGGAGCGGGGCGGCTGCCGCAGCGGTCTTCGGGGGCGGCGGGCTGCAGGAGCCTCTTCCGCGGCGGGAGCTCCAATGAGAGGGGCGCCGGTTCGCGCAGGGGGCTCCCCTCGGCCACCTGTGGGAGAGAGGAAAGCGGGAGACGCGATCAGGAGGCTGCCATGGGCGGGCGCTGCGTAAAAAGGGAGCGGGTCCCCTTTTCCTCATTCTATCTCTCTCTCTTGCAAAAAGCGCATTGCAAAATTCCGCCGGGAACGGGAAAAAGGGCAAACTTCCAGTCGTGCAAGGCCGGAGAGATCTCTCCGGGGGAAGCATGGAGTTGGGTCCCAGTTGCTGCAAACAACGACCCCATCGGGAAAGGAGAGATCACACTCACAAATGCACTTACCCCCAGCACTGGCATGTTACAGCCCGGTCCAGGGAGCGCGCAGCTTTCTCCCGGGCTCTGCAGACAAGCGGGTCCCCAGTTACAAGGAGAATGCCGGCGGGCTGCAGACGCCTCCCGACCTCTCCTTCTGCGTGCCCATCGCGAACCAAAATTAAAAAGAAGTCGTCCCGGGACAGAGGATTCCTGTTGCAGAAACGGAGCCTCGCTTCTCCTCCGCCTTCTTTGCTAATTTTGCTACTGACTGTCTCTCTCTCCCCCCCCCTCACTTTTTTGTGCAAGCGAAATAAAGTCGTGCACTGCTTAAGAAAAACTCTACTGCAAAACTCTCTCCGCTCCGACTCCTGTTGCTCGCTACGTGATGTTTCCTCCCATAGTGGCAAAAGCAGCGAGGAAAGTTTAGGGTTGCAAAGTTAAAGCAGCAGCCCGGGAGCGAGCTCAGAAGGGGAGGAGACGGCATCAAAGGGGAGGGAGAGGAGGAGGGAGGGACTTAACCCCCCTTCATCCCCCACCCCAGCTTCCCAAGAAACGGGATACTACTGAGTTCATGGGCAAGCGGAGCACGTGGAAACCGAGAGGAGTGTTAGGAGGAGAGAGGAATGGCTCAGGTTAGCAAGCTTGCGAGTTAAACCTCCTTCGGCACTTTCCTGGCTTCCAAACCGAGGGGAGTCAATCTGGTTTGGGGTGCGGGGGTCTGCTTTTAAGAAGGCCCACGTTTAATGCTTTGGCTGCATACTTTGTGGCTTTTACTCCGGATTTATTGGGGGCTTCCATTGGAGTAAGCAGCGTGATGGCTGGCTTTAAAATCAAGGAAGGGGCAGAGGATTCACACGAATTTGCACACACCCTATGGACTCCAGCAGAGTTTTAATATTTCAAAAAGTGTTTTTATTTATAAGTGCAGAAGGGAACTATAGATGGATATAGGTATACACACACATATAGGTAGGTAAGTAAAGGTGCCTTGCACGCTGCTATGAATATAACTACTTTTATATATATATATATATATATATATATATATATATATATATATGCATTTGCTGCCTCCCACATTGTTTTTGATGTGTTTGCAGAAATCAAAGTGATCTCTCCTGGGTCCAAACATGGACAGTGTGTATGGAAGTCCTGGGCTGCCCAGGCACTTAAAATTGAACATTGGTCTCACACATACACATATCCCATTGTCCTATATGTGATCTGTTTGCCTTGTATTGTATGGGAAGCATGGGTCAGGTATAGGTCTGCAACCCCCAAGTCATCTAGGCCGAAGCCTGCCCCTTTATTGGCAGACAGTTCAACGCCTATACAGTATGTACATGCCGTTTAAAAAAACAGTTTGTGACTGCATTGCTGATCAATGCTTATCCAAAAGGTCACAGTAGCGGGCTTTGGAATGTATAGGCTTAGGTTGCGGACCCAAGACATTTTGCTGCCTGAGGCAAAGGGTAAGATGTTGCGCCTTCGCCACACAGTTCTCCATACAGATGTTAACTGGAACTTGCATCTGAATCTGGGCATAATATTGCTGGTAGAATAGTCTCCTCTGAGGGGGCAGACCAGATTAGGGGGTCCAGGAAAAGCCATGTGGAAACAGAAGGGGATTACCGGGGGCACAAGAAGAGCAGCGCAGAACTGCTACTGTCCTCTGAGGCAATTGTCTATTTTGCCTAATGGTAGGGCCTGGACCTCACTGTAGCTTTTGAATGCCCAAATAAAAACTGGAGTGGAGCTGAGGAGGATTGTCCCAGAGTGTGTTTTTTGTTTCTCTCTCCCTCTCTCTCTGAATAAGGATTTTCAAAAGTGGGAGGTCATTGGGATAGCTCAGCCAGTAGAGCACAAGACTCTTAAATCTCAGGGTTGTGAGTTCGAGACCCACATTAGGCAAAAATAAATAAATTCCCGCATTGCAGGGAGTTGGACTAAATGACCCTCGTGGTCCCTTCCATCTCTAAAATTCTATGTTTCTTCAGTCAATGAGCCATAGCGTAAAAGTATGCAAATGGTGACTCCCAACTTCTCCCTCAAATGCCATGCTGAGAGTCAAAAGGGCGACTCTCTTGTATGAGCAGCATCTGTAGTACCGCAATATGGTATCAGGATGTTTGGAGGGAACTTTGGTGACAGCCACTAGCTTAGGAGAATTAGAATTGCAGAGCTGGAAGGGGGCTTTGTGGTCAACTAGTCCAGCCCTTATAATGGAGGGTGCAAGTACCGTGCCAACCCTAATTGGCAGCCATTTGGCCCCTGCTTAAATACCTCCAGCAAAAGAGGATCCACTGCCTGCCTCCCAGAATGTAAAAAAAGACACCGAGACAAATCCACAGAAGATTTGCCTGTCAACAGCTATTATCCATGAGAACTAAATGGAGCATCCATGTTCTATCTCTGGATGCTGGAAGTATCTGGCTAGCCACTGTTGGAAACAGGATACTGGGTAAGATAGACCCTAGGTCTGATACAGCTGGGTTAAGGTTATTAGGTTAGACAACTCATACCCATGTAGACAAGATCAGATTCATCGATCCAGAACAGTTAGCATCCCCTGGTCAGGAAGAAACTGCCCACACTGATCCAAATCATTAACCCCCTCTAGCTGGCACCAACCCTCCAATATTTTCGTTCCAATACATTGTGAGACCTACATTGCCTCCCAGTACGTTTCCAAGCACAATTCAAAGTGTTGATGCTGACCTTTAAAGCCCTAAACAGCCTCAGTCCAGTATACCTGAAGGAGCGTCTCCACCCCCATCATTCTACTTGGACCCTGAGGTCCAGCTCCAAGGGCCTTCAGGCAGTTCCCTCACTGCAATAAGTGAGGTTACAGGGAACCAGACAGAGGGACTTCTCGGTAGCGGCGCCCGCCCTGTGGAACACCCTCCCATCAGATGTCAAGGAAATAAACAACTATCTGACTTTTAGAAGACATCTGAAGGCAGCCTTGTTTAGGGAAGTTTTTAATGTTTGATGTATTTATCACTTTATTCTTATTATTCTTATTATTCTGTTGGGAGCCGCCTAGAGTAGCCAGGGAAACTCAGCCAGATGGACGGGTATAAATAAATTATTATTCATAATAATAATTATTATTATTACTATACACACAATGGTGTTGTTTGCCACATACACACCAGTATTAACTGCAGTCGTGAGCATGTAAAAAGGGGGGAGGCATGCATGCCCAGACAGCTGCCACAGCTTGTGTGCACGGTGCGTTTACCCACCCGAATTCTGTGATGGCCACAAACACGACTGCCCTACCAAAGTTTGCATTTGCCCTGTAGAACCTGTAGAACCACCTTGCAGCCCACCAGTCCCGGATCATGGCCTCCTGGGTGGCTGCCAAGAGCTCGTGCCCACTACGGAAGCCCCAAAGCAAGATATGTTCAGTCATTTGCATTCAGCTTAGCGCAGGGGGCAGGGGACCTCTCTCAGCTCCGGGGCCATATTCCCTTCTGGGGACCAGAGACAAAACAGGCAGAGTGACACACAGACATTTCGCCTGTATGCAGTAGGCTGATAAAAAAGGTAAAGGTACCCTTGACCATTAGGACCAGTCATGACCGAATCTGGGGTTGCGGTGCTCATCTCGCTTTATTGGCCGAGGGAGCCAGCGTACAGCTTCCGGGTCATGTGGACAGCATGACTAAGCCGCTTCTGGCGAACCAGAGCAGCGCACAGAAACGCCGTTTACCTTCCTGCCGGAGCGGTACCTATTAATCTACTTGCACTTTGACGTGCTTTCGAACTGCTAGGTTGGCAGGAGCAGGAACCAAGCAACAGGAGCTCAGCCCGTTGCGGAGATTCGAAGCACCGACCTTCTGATCGGCAAGCCCTAGGCTCTACCTGAGCACAAATTCAACACATCCCTCTCCTTCTACTTCCACCCAAGAAAGCAAGGGCACATTTCAAGTAGCCCAATTAGGGTGTGGAGCGAGCCCATGCAGGGTGTGTCCCGGGGAGATGGGGTGTGATTGGGGAGCATCCCAAGGGGCTGGATAGACTCAGGGGTCCACATTTGACATCCCCCCCAGGCCTGAAGATCCCCATCCTTGGTTTCAGCAGGTCAGAAAGTATTTAAAGCAGTTCCATTGGGAGGTGTGTTGATGCTAGCACTGCTAGGGAAATTAGCAGGAGGTAGGGTCTCTCCCATTCGGTCCCGACCCCTGCAAACTTCCAGCCCGTCCATCAACAATGTGTCTTAGGGTCTACCCCTTTCTCCAGTTGCTAAGAGTAAGTGGGGGCCAGTCAACCTCCCCCCCCTTTTTGCCAATAAGTCATTCTGAAGAAGAGATGCAGCCGCCAGCCTCAGAGCAATTCACTCTCTGGCATTTTGTCCCCCACGAAAGCTGCACTCTTCCATGCTTTACTTGGAAGCAAGTCCTGTAGAATCACAGCAGTACTACCCTGAACATGCCTGATCTTGGCTGCTCTCGGAAGCTAAGCAGGGTCAGGCCTGGTTAGAACCTGGATGGGAGACCTTATGGGTTCCGCAGGCTTTTCCTCTTTGGGAGTCAGTGTGGTATAGTGATTATAGTGTCAGACTGGGACCTGGGTTCAGATCCCCACTCGGCTGTGGAGCTCACTGGGTGACCTTAGAAGTCAATGCCTGTCAGCCAAACCTATCGTTGGAATTCAGTGAGGAGAGGAAGACCCACATATGACAACTTGGGCTCCCTGGAGATAAAGGTGGGATGCAGACGCAATAAATAAATACCTAAAACTGATGAGACTTACTTCTGAGTAAACCCACATAGAATTGGACTGTATGGGAAGCATCAAACCTTGCTCTTAGAGTAGGAGTAAGGGAACTTTTGGCCCCTCCAGATCTTTGCTAAGCTGCAACTCCCATCATCCCTGGTCATGCTTGCTAGGGCTGATGGGAGTTGTAGTACAGCGAAATCCAGAGGGGCAAAGGTTGGTTGCCCAGCCCTGATCTACATGAATGAGAGTCGAGGTCTTTGCAAAGTCACACACCATCCCACTGGAGAGCCAGGATTGGCTGCCGCTCCCTGTCGAGTGTAACGCAGCAGCCAATTGGGTTTGCTGCCTCAAGATGTATACAACAGCCTCCATTCTAGACTGGCAGCTGCAGTCCACAATCCTGGAAACAAGATGGCTTTAGTGAAAGGCATCTGCTGATGACCCCGGCAGAATGGATGGGATGGCCCTGATTCCACAGGTAATGTCATAGAATCATGGAACTGTAGAGTTGGAAGAGTTATCTAGTCCAACTCCCTGCAATGCAGGAATCTCAGCTAAAGCATCCATGACAGATGGCCACCCAACCTCTGTTTAAAAACCTCCAAGGAAGGAGAGTCCACAGCCAAACAGCTCTTGCTGTCAGAAAGTTCTTCCTGATGTTTAGTTGGAATCTCCTTCCTTGTATCTCAAAGCCATTGGTTCAGGTCCTACCCTCCAGAGCAGGAGAAAACAAGCTTGCTCCATCTTCCTTTAAGATA